TGTTTCTTTCACAAGAAATGTATAAAATTAGTGCTGTATTAGACTTACGGTACCTAATTTACATACTGTACAGACGATAGTAAACTCAACTTACTCGCCTAAACTCTCCATAGCGTGGCGCTGGACGACGGAAAGTATATATATATAATTATAATAAAGTTACGATGAATTAAGTTAATATATAATTATATATACAGTACCTAATTTATATATAATTTATATATAATACTGAACAGACGATAGTAAACTCAATTTATCCGCCTAAACTCTCCGTAGCGTGGCGCTGGACGGCAGAAATTAGTTCAGCTGCCCGATGACGTTTTACCGAATTATACGAGTTTTTTTACCATGTTTGTATGGATACCGTCGCAAGTTTTTCGCCGTCATATAGGAATCCGAACTATAGGAACCCGTGTTATAGGGGGTCGACTGTATATTTATTTAATAAAAAACATTTAAATATTTAAGGTAAAAAATATTAGTTCTGATTATGGATATTGATCTTTCGCCTTTAGTGGAAAGAATTCGATTTTAGATCCGATAACTTTCATCAACTTTCTAAATAATAAAATCATCATCTGAAAAAGAGTTTAAACTTATTTTTAGATTTAAAAAATATATCTAAAAATAAATATGATTGATTGTTGCAATTCTAAATCGTAGCATTTCTTACGTGCTTACACTGTGAATTCATAATTTAATGATTTGACTGACTTGATTATGTAAATTATTATTATGTCAATAATAATAATAACTAACATAATTCTCTATAACCTAATTTTTTCAAATAGTATATAATATCGATAACTTAAACTAAATATACTTTATATTCCGTAAAAAGTAAAAAACATATTTTATAAAATAATAAAATAGTATGATATATTCAGTAGTAGACTGACACGTCCATCAGTTTCAATTATACGAAAGAATCGATTGCGAATTAGCCATAAAAATCAGTCGTTTTTTATTCTAAAAATTGTTTTTAATGATTTCTTACAGCTTTCTTCACGATATTACGACTCTTAATAATTAAAATTTAGTTTAAAAATAGATAAATTATGTATTCCCTTACCGATTAATTACGTATAAAACAAAATGTTTTCATAGTTTTTTAGAGATAGATACCTTACATATTCGAAAAGGATTAAATATAGTATATTGATTTTTGGCTAATTAACTCCTTTTATATTAAGTTATTTTTTGATTATCAAGTGTGAAAAATTAATGAATCATTAACTTCTACGACTACAGTTATGACACAGTTAAAATATCGATTTAACAGGAAATGATTGTGAATGATAAGAAGACACTGTATACATAATGAACAATTTCAATGTTTATTAAGTAAAAAAATAATATAGCTACAAAAATATTCTTTAAAGCTGAAAAATAAGAAAGTTTGTAAAAAAAGCACACAAGATTTTTTATTTAGTATTTTTATTAACATTCTAAATCAGACGAGGGCTTTTACATCTCTATGTAATACAGTGAAATCACGTAACTAATAAATTTTGATTTAGTACAGTTACGTGATCTTTATTTTCACTTACATCAGTATCACAATTGCACGTTTCAACAAATAATTATTTTGACTTTAAATATGCAAGTCGATTAAATAGATTACTTGTTTTCTGCAGTTTGTTGTTCTTTTTTGCACCGAACCTTTTTCAGGCTTATCATGGGTTCGGCTAGGCCACAATGCAGCGGGCCCGAAAAATTCCTAGGCTTTTTTTAATCTGCCCGGATTCGATCCCGGGTCTTCGAGAGAGAGAGGAATAGGCTGACATCTTGTTTGTAGTTGTGAATTAAAGTATAGTTTGTTGACCAACTGGGGTGGCCGCTTTAGGTTCAGCGTTTGGGAATCGCACTCCTCAAGTATTAACAAGCCTGACATTTTGCTTAAATTATGATAATACTTTAATGGCTTACGATGCATTGCTGATATCATTTCATTTAATTATCTAATATATTTTGTGACAAAAAGTGCTTTTCTTGATAATGAATGTATAAAAATAATAAATTCCCATTACTCCTACTATAGGATTGTAGGATTAATGTGATAAGACAAGCAACATAAGATCGATATACAGTAGCGTAGTGGGGGCGGCAGGGGCGGCCCGCCCCGGGCGGCACTTTTTAGAGGGTGGCAAAATTTCACAATAAATAATAATAATAATATCTTGTAAGAATTTGAACCGTTTTATTTCATATTTTCGTGCACCTACGATTCGGACCGATTGAAATGAGCACGGAATAGTCCGGGAATGTCGACCTTTTTTTTTTGCTTGTACGATTTATTCGTATATATATACACCTTCAATATCCAATACAGCTAGGTCACTTGCGTTACTCCTACCCAAATCTCCCTAGTCGCTAACTGTAACTGATTTAGAACCAGCATGCACTGCAAATTATTCTTCGCATTGCAAAATGACATACGAATGCGTCAGGAACTTCTGTTCGAACAAACCTCACCTGCCGTCCGGGTCTGCGATTTTAAAATAAAGTGGCAACACTAGCACGGAATTTTTCATTACTTATTCTGTGGCGAAACTGAATTTTACTCTTTTAAATTGAGATACCTAAATAAGGGGGGGGCGAAATTTTCATCCGCTCCGGGCGGCTGACAACCACGCTACGCCACTGTCGATATATGAAAGGGGATGCCTCTCGAGAGGATTTTCTGAAACTCGCTCTACTTAGGTGTTAGATACGTAAAGAAAATCCAGAAAACTTCACGTAGCCAACCAACTGGTTAGAGTTGAACCCACAACCAATTACCAGCGTTGAATAGTTTTATTCATTCCGTCACTGGAGAGCGCTTGTTTTTACTATAGACAAGCAAGTCTATCTGAGAATAAAATGTAGACTTCAAGCAGTTACTGCTTTTACGACTTTTTACGCACACGCATATATGGCCATAATAGGAAAGCTTCATACTGGTTAAGTCAAGTCAGGCCGCGCACTACTAGACCCTGCTATTGACTTTATGAACTTTGTTTATGAACATATAAAGAACAGAGGGTAACAAAATAAGATAAACGAAAGGACATTCTATAAATAGTTCATACCTATGGTTGGTGACCTTGTTTGACGTATTTCATTATTTTGCAGTGAGATTTACATAAAAGGATATAATATATGCAAAACACTAGATGTTATCTGTATATAATGTGTATAATGGCTGAATTTTTCATAGTATTATTCAAGCAGTCTTTTCCCAAAAGATTTTGTACCAATCCATTATTAATACAGTAGAGCATCGATTATCCGACCCCCGATTAACCGTCACATCGGTTAACCGACCGTTCTAGTCGGAAAATTTCAAATGTCCGCTAGTGATGTGGCACTACAATATTTGGCTATGTCTTGGATACTTTAATATTATTTTTGTTAAATTTTTGCTTGTTTTAGCTGGCAACACGG